GNNGNNTAGTTCTTCATAAACATCAAGAAAGAGTTCTTGAAAATTCCCAAAATAAAATTCATACATATTCCTATACAAGAAAACCGAGACATTCCTACTAGCGAAGGAAGGTCGTCGGAACCGGGCTTCATAGGGTGGATACGTTTAGAGGGAAGACACTTGGATTCCTAAAGTGAGTAACATCAATCCGTTGAAGTTATCAAACCGGGAACCGATTCCCACAATCCACATCATCGTTGAAGGAGTTCAAGACATTCGGTAAATACTTTGTATTTGTATTTATTTTATATAACAAATCAAAATTTGTATATGATGCATGTTTTAAAGATGACTATCAGTTAATTCGCAATTAGTATGTACGGGTGTTGTATTTATACGATAAATACTTATTTTAAAAAATTTTAAATTCCGCTGCTTAAAGCCCGTACGGTACTAGCGAACACAACAAGAAGTAGCAACCTTCTTAAGCGACTATGGTTCACACTGGACGTGATTGGAGAAAAAGCCCTCAGGAGAGTAGATTTCAGTTTGACCAAACGGAATTTACCAAACCCGACTTCTAGATATGAGAGGTCCATCGCCACTATAACAACATTTGCTTTTCCTTCTCAATTCCGACGCACAACCTTTGAATTTTCTCATTTCTTTTCAAAAATAGAAAACAAAATCTCCTCAATTTCGCGTAACCATTTGTTTGATTTCCTTTTAGAATCTTGAATATAAATTGGCTCTGACCATTTCATTTCGAGTTAATTTTCGTTCTTCAAAAGTTTCGAAGTTTTTGAGTGGACAGAGATTTTCGGGGCTCAGGTGATCATTGATTGGCCGGACATGAAATCGCTGTTAGAGAAACTGAGGAGTATCGGATTGCATAAGGGCAGCCCAAAGGGAAAATGGGATCAAAAGTTTTTGGTGCATACTGATGGGCTAACTCAAGCTGCAAAGGTGAAGTTTATTCAGTCGATTGTTTTTTTTTTTTCATTTTGGATTTTTGCTTTTCGTTTCTTGTGCGAATTTGATTTATGTTTGCAGTCGGTGAAGGAATTTAGATCCTATGGCAAGTTCTGCATAAGTATGGTTCGTTTAGTAGTTTCAGATCAATTTTGACATAAAATTTTGGAAACCATATGGTGCCTTAGTCACTTGGGGTCAAGTTGTAAATGTGTATGAGTTTAATTTTGGTTAGCTAGAGATGAATCTATCCATCATTGGTGGTATATGACTTTTCTTAGCTTTGTTTGATGTTATGGTCGTGTCCCTGACCTTAATTCTTATTGTTGCAAATTTTTTATCTACGTAGGATTAGGTGATAACTGTAATGGTTTGTTCAATATTTTTGTCTGATATTTTTTGGGCTTCTTTGCCATATGATAGTGTTTAATTTGATGCATAACGTTTGCAGGATATGTAAGACATGACAACTTGCTATGACAGCTTGCTTTCAGCTTCAGCTGCTGCAACAACAAATATTGCTTACGGTATTTTATTTAANAATTTGTTAGGGATAATGTTATATATCGGTTACCAAAAAAAAAAGGATCAAGTGTCCTTAAATTGTGGGATTATTAGTTGCCGTTTTTCATGGAAAAAAAGGTAAAGATATATGGAAAGTATATAATACAAGATAACAGTTACCTTAAATTGTGGGATTGCAAGTTTACCATTTTCGTTAGAAAAATAATGGAAAATTTATGGTAAGTGTATATATCATAATATCTAGGATAGTTCAATTCAAACTGAATCAATTTCGAAAAATATACGAAATACACCTGGTAATTTTTTCTTATCGAAATCCTTTTTTGTTTACTTTTTATGTTATTTACATCTCGTGATTTTTTTAGTACATTTATAGTATATTTTATGGTTTAAAATATACAAAATACATGATCAGGATTATATACGGAAGATATACATAAGATATACTCAATATATACAAACAACATAAATAAAATATACAACAGAACATAAATCAATCTTGTCATTATATACCGAATATATACAGAAGATATACATATAACACATTAGACCACAAAATTCAAATTTCAGAAATCAATTCCTTTATTCTACACACTCATTCTCTAAATACTATCATCCACACACACACACATAAGAAATTTGTTTAATACAGAAAGATAAGTAATTTGAATTTCAAATAACGTCATATTCTAAATACATACAAAATACACTATCAAGGATTATATATAGAAGATATACTCATTATATACAGACGGCATACACAACAGATATACATAAAATAAATCAATCTTGTCATTATATATAGAATATATACCGGACATATACAAAAAAGTACATTAGACCACAAAACTCAAATTTCAAAAATCAATTTTTTTCTTTTGCACAACCCATTCTTTATATCCCTGCTATATCTTTTGCAATTTCTCCTCGGTCTTGGGTTTACATTCCGTCTGCTTTGCTCGCACTCCGCTCGCTACCACCTGTCTTTTTCCCCCCTATAGTGAAAGGTCTTTCACTTCACCTCAATAACAAACATCCTATCATTATAGTACCTAATAGGCAGACCAAGCATCTTTTAGGAAGTAGCAACTAAATTCCTACGCACAAAGCCAAGCGTGGAATGACTACCTAAGCCCTAAAAGAGCTTCCGCCTTACCATGAGTTGAAGAAGCCGTAGGAGGCCATGGGCCGTATGACGTCACCATCGTGGTGTCCAAAAAACTTGCTAAACTCCCAATCTCTCTCTCTCTCTCTTGTTGAGATCGAAAGAGAAAACAGATTTTTTATGATCGAATTAATTCAATCGGGGGAGTATGGTTTTTGGGCGGCCACAATTTGGGCTTCAAAGTTTAAGTTTCGCCATGGACATGGCGTGTGAAGGAGAGGGAGAGAGGGATAAGGAGAGAGAGAAGGACCATATATATAATGACAGTTACCTATTCAAATCAACTTCTTGTATATATGCAAATAATATACTACCTCTTTTTTAAATTAGATGTCGTTTTGACTTTTTTGATTCATCCATTTTGCTACGTATCTAGACATAAATATGTCTAGATACGTAGCAAAATGGATGAATCAAAAAAGTCAAAACGACATCTAATTTAAAAAAGAGGTAGTATATTATTTGCATATATACAAGAAGTTGATTTGAATAGGTAACTGTCATTATATATATGGTCCTTCTCTCTCTCCTTATCCCTCTCTCCCTCTCCTTCACACGCCATGTCCATGGCGAAACTTAAACTTTGAAGCCCAAATTGTGGCCGCCCAAAAACCATACTCCCCCGATTGAATTAATTCGATCATAAAAAATCTGTTTTCTCTTTCGATCTCAACAAGAGAGAGAGAGAGAGATTGGGAGTTTAGCAAGTTTTTTGGACACCACGATGGTGACGTCATACGGCCCATGGCCTCCTACGGCTTCTTCAACTCATGGTAAGGCGGAAGCTCTTTTAGGGCTTAGGTAGTCATTCCACGCTTGGCTTTGTGCGTAGGAATTTAGTTGCTACTTCCTAAAAGATGCTTGGTCTGCCTATTAGGTACTATAATGATAGGATGTTTGTTATTGAGGTGAAGTGAAAGACCTTTCACTATAGGGGGGAAAAAGACAGGTGGTAGCGAGCGGAGTGCGAGCAAAGCAGACGGAATGTAAACCCAAGACCGAGGAGAAATTGCAAAAGATATAGCAGGGATATAAAGAATGGGTTGTGCAAAAGAAAAAAATTGATTTTTGAAATTTGAGTTTTGTGGTCTAATGTACTTTTTTGTATATGTCCGGTATATATTCTATATATAATGACAAGATTGATTTATTTTATGTATATCTGTTGTGTATGCCGTCTGTATATAATGAGTATATCTTCTATATATAATCCTTGATAGTGTATTTTGTATGTATTTAGAATATGACGTTATTTGAAATTCAAATTACTTATCTTTCTGTATTAAACAAATTTCTTATGTGTGTGTGTGTGGATGATAGTATTTAGAGAATGAGTGTGTAGAATAAAGGAATTGATTTCTGAAATTTGAATTTTGTGGTCTAATGTGTTATATGTATATCTTCTGTATATATTCGGTATATAATGACAAGATTGATTTATGTTCTGTTGTATATTTTATTTATGTTGTTTGTATATATTGAGTATATCTTATGTATATCTTCCGTATATAATCCTGATCATGTATTTTGTATATTTTAAACCATAAAATATACTATAAATGTACTAAAAAAATCACGAGATGTAAATAACATAAAAAGTAAACAAAAAAGGATTTCGATAAGAAAAAATTACCAGGTGTATTTCGTATATTTTTCGAAATTGATTCAGTTTGAATTGAACTATCCTAGATATTATGATATATACACTTACCATAAATTTTCCATTATTTTTCTAACGAAAATGGTAAACTTGCAATCCCACAATTTAAGGTAACTGTTATCTTGTATTATATACTTTCCATATATCTTTACCTTTTTTTCCATGAAAAACGGCAACTAATAATCCCACAATTTAAGGACACTTGATCCTTTTTTTTTTGGTAACCGATATATAACATTATCCCTAACAAATTACATGCATTTAGTAAGTTTGAAATTAAAACAATTGCTCTCGTAATGTTGCAATTATGGATAAAAAGCTGTGTACACATAAAATTTTCCCAACCTGATGCTACTACCATTTACCATCATACGTATGAAACAAAAAATATCCAAACTGACAAACAGCAAATAACATAGGCCTGTTATATAAAACCAAGTTTTGTCATTGTTTTATAACTTTAATCACTCAAAAACCAGATAAAAATACTTGAAGAGTAGTACACTTTGGAACAGGAACCATAATAGGAATTCTTGTTTTGGTTCTGTAGATATTAAGAAAAAGACAAGCGAAATATAGTTTATTAATTCTTGGGACCAATGTCCTTCAGGGCACAGATCTGCTCTTCTCCCATAGCACACATAACAGACACCACAAGGTCCTTTCCTTCCTCAAAACCACTTTTAATCTGCACGTAAATCAATCAAAAACGTTACTTCCGAACACTACAAATCACTATCCTAATAATAATATCTACATTTTAGCGTTTTCTAATGTTAGCTTGTACTTTTAAATTTGCTTCATACGGTTGGAATTTAAAAGAGAGGAATGTTTGTGTTAATAATTCTAATTATGGTGTGAATGTTACTATTTTAATCAAATAAACATTCCATTTCCATAAATCAATTCCTCTACAGGTGAAGTGCTAGCAAACATTGATTCTAAAGTAAAAATGATATTGAACTCAACAGCTTTCCATTCAATAGTCAAAATACCTAGCAACGAAAAAATCACAAAAACACACACACAAAGAAAAAAAGTTGTTCACCTGAGAAAGCAGATTTTCATCGGTAGGAAGCCTCAGATCATCTTTGGTGTTACCATTTTCAGTCAGAAGAGAGACCTACAACACACAAGCCTCAATCTGTTCAAGATTTTCTAATGAAACGAATCGAAATAAAAAATAAAATAAAAAAATCATCGAGCTGTAAATCCCCTAATTTCAGTGTGAAACAAGAAAAACTAAAAAGCTTTCAGAAAAAAAAAAAAACCAAACAGGTACTCCATCAGTCATTTAAATGACATTTCTCTATTGAACTTTAATCAATTAGTTCCGTAATATCATGGGAAAAGAACAGGCATGTGAATATCAAAAATAGTAATAATAATCTACCAGCAAGCAATGCTGTAACTTCTAGTGGCAAACTTATATGAACTTATCCAAGTGTATAATTGACTTCTCGAGGGAATATTTCCCAGCATGCAGCGATTCTTATTGAAAAATACAATGATGAAACAAAATAAGCGAGGGAGTACTTACAAAACCATCTTCGGAGATGTCTATAAGCTGATAATCAGTACGGTTCACATGAGGCACCTGAAAAAACCACAACAGAACATTCCGTTCAGTAATTGTGTTATTTAACACAATTACGGAAGCTTCCATAAGAGAATCTCGGGGAGAAAAAAAGTTACAGCAAAAGGAATAATTTAATAACAAATTACATCACAGTTGTGGGACGATGGAACAATATCTTCAAGCTTCTTGCCATTGAATATGTCAATAGCCACAAAGTGACACTTGGCGTGTCCATGCTTGCCGGTTTTTGAAGTAGAGACTTCAACAACCTACTCAAATAAAAAGGGACGAAATAGCACATCGGAATTAATGTAATCATGGATAAATAGTATTATGTCAAAAGTTTAAGGAAAGGCATATGTTGTATAGAGGCATNTGAGTTAAAAAAAAAAAAAAAAAAAAAAAGAGAAAGAAAGAAAAAGAAAAAAATCCCATTTCAAATAAGATGCATATGAGTTCACAAACTTCAAAAGTAAGGGCTGGCATATGTTGGTTCACCACCCAAAGTTTCATTTTTAAGGTCACCAAAGAGTTGCTTTTATAAGCTTCTACAGTTTCATTTAGGAATGCTTAGTTTCACTAAAGTCGAGCAGACACGGCTTGGAGTATCTAACAAAGATGGTAACTGGCAACTTAAGGCTCAATCTAGACTAGCACAGCTATAAGAATGAACAATTACAACAACTAGTGGCACTGATTTTTTTTACAATAATCAACAGTGTACTGAAGAAGATAAACTTTCCAAGCAGTATATTCTTTACAGTTATGAGGCAGATACTTTTCTTGAAACAAAAAATTGCAATTATAGTTGCAGTTGTGCAAGCAGGATGCTACATAAAGGTTGTAAAAGAATAACAATGACGATAACACAGCAAACTTATATGCATATCTGAGGTGGTATTAACAGAGAATATTACTAGCCTGTCATTTCTTAAAGCAACCAGGATTGCCACAACATCTGCTGAAAGAGCGTAAATTGGACCGTATGCATGAAGAAAATACTCTTTGCCGAGCAAATATGATAAAGGTTCATGCCTGCACGCATTAAGTTAATCTGTCACCTACATAACAGCGAAAAAAAATTTCTATCTTTACATCATTCAGTTATACAAATACACAGTATTTACATTATTACATGTTGATTCAAGAATCACGATTCACATGGAGAGAGGCGTGATTAAATGATTTTGTGTGGAATAAATTCTTGCGTAAATGCATAAAAGTAACAGAGTGAAATTAGTCTCTTTTACACAGGTGTGATTACATGATTCTGGAGAAATATATGTTGGCCTTGGCCCCAGTGGAAGGTTTAGAAGAAAACAATAAAAAAAATTCACAAATAGTTTGCCATTCTAAAGGTGTAAAACTATATGTATTGTATATCTACAGGTTTACTAATCCTCTTTTATGCAACCATGTTCAATTTCGAATGCAAAACACCAGGTCAGTATTTGCACATTTTCTTTGAGAGAGATATAATTATTGGTATCAACACTAATGTTATCACATTTTTCAGTATAATATTTCAGCATTCAGCATAAAATAAATTTGTAGATACAGATCATATTAAGTGTTACAATATTATAAAACTAACCATTGTGACTTTGAATCGGTAATCACAGGACCTTTTTTCATGCATCCTATGTATGTTTGTGAATGAGAACGGTCATTGGCGAGGAGCAGAGAAAGACGATCTGCTCATGAACAAATAACAGAAAAATGTTGGGCTAGTGTTTAAAAACTCAAAAGTCGAATAATCAAACTTGAGAACAGGTACAAAGTACAAACATTAAGCCAATGCCAATTTCCTAAAACTACTCACCTGGTCGTAAATATATGTCGTCATCAGCTTTGACATAGAAATCAGACTCATATAGAGCATAAGCAGCTTTGAAGAAGGCTATGCTGTAAAAACGTCGCAAAGTCAGAGTATACCAGAAAGCAAATGTACATAGAATTCACTTTCAACGAGTCAAAACTAACGTTTTGTATGGCAGATTAGTGTACTCGTCTTCAATATCCAATAGCAGGAAATCATCATACTTGGTAATCTCCTTCTTAAGCGCTGCCATCTTCGATCCATCACTGGTTCTACCAATTACAAACCTGAAAACCAAACCCGTACTTTCTTCTAACCTATCATTCAATTCCAAAGTGAGACATCAAACAAAATCACAGTCAATATCTAAAAACAGTGATATATATACCATACATTTACATAGTAACTGATAAATAGACAAAGGACTGAATTATGATCTGATGAGAATTTCATCCATAAAATACAGAAACCACACAGTAGCATTCATAAATAACCCTAAAATGTGAACAACTAAAGGAAGAAATTAAGAATTAATCTTCTTCACCAAAAACAGGCCAACGTGAATCAGATGAAAGCGCGCACACACACACACACACTCGTCGAACCGAAAAAAAAATAAAAAAAATTGAAAACTAGAGAACACATTTGAGAGGATCTATCAGTAGGTACCGTTGAAACCCCTCATGATCGGCAGGGAACCAAGTCTGCCGTAAAGCCCGGCGACGGCCCGCGGACCCAAACCCCGTTTGAATACCCACGAAGCCCATCGACTTGTGACGCATTTGCCCCTCACCTAAAACGCCGCCACCCTCACTCGTACCAACACCCGACGATTTATCCCAGGCCACGGACTCCGATAAAGGCTTACCGTATCTGCACCCGCTACGCAGCCCGGCCCGAAGGATCGCGACGAACCCGAACACGAGGCACGAAAACCCAGCGAGCGAAAATAGTACCAAAACCGTCGATCGACGGCTGTTCCAGTAATATGGGCGCGCGTGGAACAACTTGGGAGACGAGGGCATATTTTTCCAGCTGGGATTTTTTTTTATCCCGACTGCAATTTTCCGTTACCTTTTTTTGCGGGCTTTGAAGGTTTTATCAGCCTCCCCCTTTTTCCAAAAGGATTGTGTTGTTCTTCGTACGTTACATGGGGAGCTCTGAAAATGGAGTCATGGCAGTAAATGTAGCTATAGATACAACAAACAAAATTGTGTATATAGTGTATATAGTGTTTACGACGCCATTGAAGGGCTGTGGAAGGTGGGATGTGAGGTTTCCAAAATGGATGGCAGAATCAGTTTTGAGCACGGGCAATTGAATATGGTGATTCAATTCAATGCAATTGAAATTATTTTAGGGGGAAAATATCTATAGCATAGCATCTCCAATGTGAGATGTTGATTTAATAAAATGTTAGCCACATCATCAAGTTATAAAGTGATTACAAAAATTACTCTTCAATCCATAATGTTATGACTTCTTTTATGCTACATGGAGAAAATAAATGTCCAAACTGTGAAGCCCACTTTCTAGTTTTCTTTCTAGTTTTTCAAAGCATGTTTGAAAGCCAACTCATAAAAAATCTGACTTATTTTCCTTCACGGCTGTCAATTTCAGAGATTCACCTCCTTTGAAATTCCTCTCATATTCTTTTGCAGGTTTGTTCATCAGAATGAGCTCGAAGGACGATCAGGTATGAGGCTTTTGTTTATTACCTTTCTCTTTATCAATCGTGTATATTATTATTCTTTTAGATGCTACTAGTACAGAGCCCGTGCGATGCACGAAGTGTACAATTTTAAGGCTATTTATCTAGACTTATAATTATATGCATGAATACAGAAAAATGTACGGGATATATATAGTACGTGACCCGTGCGAGACACGAGATATATTTATTTGAGAAATACTATATTATAAGATGCAATATTCAATAAAAGTTTTATAATATGCAGAAAAATTGTACAATAAGATAGTATTCGACAAACAAACAATCATATATTATTAAAGACCTCCTTGTACACAACATTATGAGTTTGATTTTCCATACAATAATAATAAGATTTTTTGTAAAAAGATAAGAAGGAATTTTCAATCTACACAAACTTTAAACATTAGATGTGTTTACTTAAATCAATGGCTATATAGACAACTAAACCCTTCAATTTAGACTTGACATCTACTTTATTTATGGGTGACGTAAAATAAGGATTTAATTTTGATCCATTAAATCTTTATTCATAGGTTTGACATATAAAACTGATTTGATGGGATTTTCTTAACTAAACCGATGTTATGGGATAAAACAAATCTATACTTACCTTTAACTTTTCCAACAAAGGTAAAAAAATCGGTTCTGATTTTTATCTCATAACAAATCTTTAATGTTAAGCCTATAAATACCAAAACAAATTTGTAATTAATATCATTCTATTTCCAGCAAGCATTAATTACCTTTGACTTTTCTACCTACTATTTCAAGTAAATAGGATGGCTTTTTATATAAGTATAGTTTTCATATAATGCAAAGACTGAGATCATAAAAAAGAATCCTAAAAACTGAAACAATATATCTGCATTATTTAAGGTCATTAAGAAATCGATCTCTAAATCAGATTTGATTTTCAGAATATGTTTTTTTATTTCGAATTCCATACAAAATGGAATTCTTTCCAACCAATAGATGTCATAGCAAATATTAACTCTTAACTATTAGACTATTAGTACATACGGAGCAAATTGTGTACTGATTTTAGAAAGTTAAAATGATTCATGTTAGGTAATTTTACATTTTATGCATGTTGAACGGTGGGTTTTAAATATTGTTTCATAGAATGTAAAAGTGTATTATATTATTTTTATGAGATGTTGAATTTGAAAATATATAGAATTTTTCTTCATATGGATTTTAAATGTAACAATATTCTTTGATATACACTACTAATAAAATCTATATTTAAAGTTCATATTTTTTTTTACTGAAAAAAATTCCTTAATTTAAGGAATCATATATCTTCAATCAGTCCACATCTATATACATTCTTCACAATTTTAAATCTTGAATTTGATGAAAATTCGTATCTATGAGTGCAAAATATGGTTTAACAAATTAATTTTTTATTATTATTCCAGCCATACTTCTTTATACAATTTTTTGTGAAAATACAAAAGTAAATTCTTAATTTTAAATCAGCCGTACATTAAAGAGTACAAATTTGTTGAAATTACAAAAGTAGTTTTTTACTTTTAAACAGACGTAAATTTAAATCAATCATAAAAAATTAATATTTGTTTATCATTTAAGGACAACATTTAATGTTGCTCTATTTTTAGGAGACATTAAATGTATTTGGCGGAAAAAACTTGCTAAAAGTGTTAAATGGTTAATCTTTTAATATAATGATAGATGTTGCAGTTCTACAATACTTAATCATCTTTATTTTAATTGCTAGTTCTGTTTGGGTAATTACTAGATTGGCCTATAATTTCAAGTTTTCACGCCAAATTAAATAGTAGAATATTTAGTTAATTCTTAAGGCTGCGTAGGTGAAGAGGTTGCGCAAGAAGTGAACCAATCTGATGCAATTTTGTTCTGAAGGCTGCGTCGGGAACCTCTGGAGGTTGTTAGGATTTAGTTTTTAATTTTTTTTAGTTTATTTATTATTAAATAAATTAAAATCCATTTGTACCCATTTTAAGTTTTTGAAATGAATGCATTGGAGATGTGTATTCCAAATTAAAGTCTTCTCTTTTGACATTCATATTACATGGATTTATATTTCATTCATCATTTGACATATATTCAAATTTAATTAATGTTGAAAGTTAAGCATTGGAGATGCTCTAAGCTGTTGACAATTTTTACTAGTCATTTCACTTTATTTTATTATAATTCCTAATTTATTTATTTTTTTATAAATGTAATCCCTAATTGGTGACATAGGTTACAAAATGTAATATTTTTTCTTTTTTTTTTAAAAAAAAATAAAAATAAAAATAAGAAAAGCACACATATTTGTGGTACATAAAGCTACTTTTAATATAATTGTTTAATATGAATGATAACAAAAAAATAATGAGTAGGGAGGGTATCAATACTTGATTCTTTGATGTGTACGAAAGGCTGAATTCGTACCTATATGTCGGACTGTGCAAATTAATGGGTGAAAAAGCATGTGGAGTAGTGCCCCTATGGAGGGTGGAATCAACCAGAGAAGAGTAGTGTATTAACCTATTTAAATATGGACAAGTGTCCAAATAGCTCCTTTGTACACACTCACTTTTAATATGGACCGATTAATAAAATAAAAATATTTTACCTATTTTAAAAGAATTTATTAAAATGAGCTAAAAAATATATTGGCAAAAACTGGTATTAGAGTCTAGGTTTTATTAAGAACTTTAGATGTATTTATTATATGATAGTAAAATTTTGATGAGGAGAAACATAAAAGAAATGGATACTAAAAATTGTCTGAATTGTATACATTACATTAATTATCTTCAAATTATGAAGACATGTGAATAAGAACACCAACAAATGCCAGGCCACATTTAATAATGGAGTGGGGGTAATAATTTGGACCTAAGGAGCATGTGAATCCAGGAAAGCATCCACCTACAGTCAGTGGAAATAATAATAGAAGGTCTCCACCCGCTAGAAAAATGGGCTTGGAGGAAACAAAAATGCATCGAGAATTCTCCTTAACTTTCTCACTATAATAAAAATGTTGTAATGATTTATAATATGCTAAGTGTTGAGATTTGTAAATTTTCTTTTTCAAAAATTTTATGTGTGTTTGTACTTACGCCTCTATTATGAGAGGCTAAAAAGTAATTTCTCCTCCTCAAAGGAGATTACTTATGTAATACATTCTCTTCGACTTCTTAATTAGGAAAAAAAAAAAAAAAAACTTTTGCTTCACAATATGTTTTCTTAATTTTCATTTATCTTCATAATCGAGTCTTTGTATGCCAGGAGTAGGAAACGATCCAAGATTATACTGAGTGGTTTCTGAAAGAGTTGGATAATTTGTAGGTCATCCTCCAGAAAAGGTTGAGGTTGGATGGTGGTGGTCGTTCATAAAAAAAACTAGAGGCAATAATTTTTCCAACTAGTGGATTTGCAACACATCTCACCTATAGCTATCTCGATAAAAAAGAGGTACAAAAATTATGGATTAGTTTTGCGGAAGTATATTGGGCCTGATATTAATAGAATTTTATCTCATCAAAAAAAAAAATAATAATAATAAAATAGCGTAAGTGGTTATGGCTATCCACACTCATATGAGGACATTACTTGTAGAGTTATAGGGCATCATCGAATTAGCCGCACAAGAGTGTGGTGAAGACAAGACAACACATAAGATAGTTAAGTGAAAGTTTTTCAAAAGGTAAAAAATCCTATGTGGATCCTCCCTATTTACATAAATGACATAGCTTCTATATTTTATTAATAAAGAATGCATATAATACACAAACACAATGATTTCCTCTAATTTCTATGGTAGACTTTTAGCTATCAATCTATCTAAGAAATTGGTAAATGACAAAACTATATCAAAAGGAACAAAATGAAATGATTCCTATGTTATAATAAGTTTAAGAAAATGAGAAAAAGGTAAAATTAAAGAAAAAATATGGGCAATGAGTTGATATGTCATTATTTTGTTCTTTCATGAGGTTTGAGAAATGAATATGGATGGAAATTTAAATCCTATGGTCTTTGAATGGAATGAGTAGCTTGTCCTACAAAGTCCTATACGATATCTATCAATTGTCATATCTAACTATTCTCTATAAGACTATTAATGTGTTTAGAATAGCTATTTTAAGCGTAAGGAACTTGCATAAATGGTATATTTGCGAGACCGCCTTCTTGAGTCGGTTTTTGTGAGATCGCCTTATTGAGGAATCACTTTTTTGCTCCATAGATTGTATCTATGTCATGATTACGAGTGTACCACGCCAAAAGGTCAGGCTTCTGCGTATAGTTTTGGCTTTAAGAATTCGATATAGGCTACCTCTTTTCATAAAGGAAAGGTTGTCTCTTACGAGATCGTCCTTGATTGGTGGACCGTGATAATTATGAGACCGCCCTTTAGTTTTAGGTGAGATTCACCGGTTTGCAGGATCTTCCTTTTGATAGGATGCGCCAATCTGTATGATTGTCTTGGAGTGGTTTTTATTTGGCTGCCACTGGTCCACTGGGTCACCTTTCGCTGTAGCACCACCAAACATCGGGAGATTGCATCCGGGATCATCATGTCTTAAGAAGGTTTTTCTTCTCCTTATGTTGGTCTTGCAGATATCTTTTGACTCGCACAAAGGAGGCAAAGAGATCCTTCGGCGATTGAGAAATCGTTATGGGTCTGTACTACTTCATTTGAGGATCGTCATAAGTTGGCTCACAACATACAGAGTCTTGAATTCGCCATCATCTCCAGATAAAAATTTGGCGCGGTTGGATGCTTGCCTCCAATATCGTGTAAGTGTAGCGAACTTATTAAAATTACATATAAAGTGCATCGATTGTGTTAAAAGCGTAAATACAACTATCGTGCTAAAAGTACAAGCAAAAGTACAATAATTTGTATGTGCAAAGGTGTCAAAAAAATCTCGGGGATATGAAATATATTTCGTCCGAATAGAATACATGAACATGTGTAACTTGTCAGTCTATACACATCTAATATATAGAAAAGAATACATGAACATGTGTAACTTATCAGTCTATACAAATCTAAAATATAGAAAATTTTGTTAATCTATACAATGTGTATTAGGAAACCTATGAGAAACTTTTGTCGGCGTCTTTGTCATAGATCGATTATTCTTCCATTTGCATAAGTAAGTTCTTATCGGCAAGTTGTTCTTCCCATAGACTAATAATTAGTCGAAGAGTCCTGAGGCATCTTTGCACATATCATTTTGATTTAGGATCGGCGAGAGATGGAATCAGCATATTGCCTGTGGTTCCTCTGTGGGATGATATTTTGCCGAAGTATCCCAGAGATCATCATTGTACATATGGGGTATTATTGATGCCGATATGGCAGATCGCCGTTGATAATGTGGAACGTCGTCGATATACACATTCGAATCTATTAAAAATAAATCCTATCGCAACGGAATCTATAATTAGGATTAAGACTTGCGGTTTAAAATTTTTGCCGATTCTGAGACGTTTCTGATTTTCGCTGTTGAAGATCATCTGAACCTCAGAGTCTGTTAGGCAGCCGGAACTGTCCTCTTCATCGCGACTCCGGTTGCTCACCATGCTCGTCGGATCATCTTGGACCTTTGGTAGGTTAGTCGGACCGCTCGGGACTCGCCGTGGGCTCGAATTGGGTGTTGAACTGCTCCTAGACTGGGTCTTGTCATTGGGTTGTAGACTGGGCCGGACTGCACGAGTCTGGCCCTGCACAGGTCGTGGACTCGAGGAATGACTCGCTGCTCGCGCACGGCTGCACTGGACGCCTGACATCACTCTGAGTACTGGGACAGACGTGTGGGTTGTTTGGATGTCACCTGAGTCGCGCTGAGATTGCGGGTCGCGCGTGAAGAACATGCGGCGTGTGCTGGAATGTCGCGGGTCGCCTGCACGTCACGCTGGGACTTCGCGGGTCGCTTGCCTGTGCACTAAGACAAACGCGCACGGGTAGTCGGGCACCTAGGAGCTGTGACGCGGCATTGCACTGGTTGTACGGTTTGGTACGGCACTGGTCGCTGCCAGGCACGGCCTGAACGTGGTTGGACACCTCCAAGATCGCCAGTGGTTGTCGGATGATCGCTGGTAGCTACGAGGTTGCATATATTTGACGGTATGCTTATATATTTATCGGGATACGAATACATAACCTTGGATCTTCTATTGTATGACCCTTTTACACCAACTCTAATCAATCTTGGTGGAGCAATTAATTGGATCTCCCAAAGCCTCTCGAATTTCTTTTCCTAAGGCCTCTCGGTTTTATCCGAATTTTCTCAAGAAGAAAAACTCTCTTTTTTCTTTTTCTCACAAGCATTAGGCGTTTATATTCAACTATATGCGTGTGGGATCATATATGAGAGAAACTAGGGGACTTGGTGTATTTGTAGACTACAATAGAGACCTTACGGATGTGCTAAATATGAGCTTCTTCAAATAGGATTAAGAAACCTTATATCTTCCAACTTATTAACCTTCCATAAGTCATAATGCATCCCAACTTAATTACCCTTCTAGAAGACCCCATGTCTTCCAAACTTGGTAATATTCTAGAAGACATTAAATCCTTCTACTTAGGAAAATTCTAAAAGACCTCTTTAATTCCTTTTTCTTATTTGAATAAATAATAAAACATTTTACTAGAGTAATATTATTAATCTCCCAATTTTAGCTCTGAATTACACTTAATTCGTCTTCTGACTAATTGCTCGATTTATCTCCCCAATGTTTAAGATATAAAGTCTATTGATTAATTTAATTACTGACAATATAATTAATTAATTTCTTTTACTTACAAGTACCGAAAATAGTACCACTCAATTCTTTATTATTATGTCAGAAATTAATCCGCCGACCAGGCTTGACATAATAATATTTTGAGCTCATTTCGGGGACGTCATCAACCCGGTGGATCGGGACACGGTGACCTTAATCAATCTTAACGACACATCATGTAAATAACATCACTTACCAAAATACCGAGTATGTCGACCCAATAAAATAAGTCTCACACATAGTAAATAAAATAAGTAAGTGCTAAATACATATGACCGTCTATTATCTTACGGTTTAAGAGAATGCAATAATTACTGGGATCCAGATTATTTACTTGATCAATACAAAATAATCTCATCCTTTTGTAGCTCCGTTCAATATATACAAGATGTATCACTGTAACTCATTAGTTAAAAATCAACTAACTTGAAAATCACACTATAACCTTTCACGACAGTTAGCTCAATTCTGTCTAGACCGTGAACTAATATTTATATTTTACAAGGTACCAATAATGTGATCTTTCTATTCGACACATCGGACCACATTATCCACAATATAAAATAAATGAACTACGAACACATACACTTGACTAAAAACACACATCTTATTCAAAATGGAATAGGGAGTAATCACGAAGCTGAGTTTTTACAGTATACTCCAACACCATTTGCATCAGTAAGCTGATAATGTTGCACATAGCATCGTTGCCACTACCACTACAACGCGCGCTCGGGTCTTTACAAAGTTGGAACAGATCTGGTGAGATGCCACCAACAAGCAGATCTCATTCAAACTAGCCACGCCGTCGACCAATCAGATGGACCATCATCCAAGATCGTTGTCGGGTCGCGCCGCTCGCATCTGTTTGAAGCCGGAGACCCTTCGACCGCATACCAACGCCATCCCGTGACGGCCAATTCGCCGTTGGCCACAGAGCAGAAAAAATGAATTGATTTTTGAAGTTGAAATTTGGTGGGTTGATGGGTAACTTTAAAAGACAAAATTTTGGTGGTCTGCGTGGAAGAATAAGAATAAGCAAAGAGCGGAAACTGGATGTTGGAATTTTGGATCCCATGGCGTTTGACTTGTGGATCGTACATGTTTTGATTTCTTTATATTTTAGAAGATTTTAATGTATATTTGATGTTTGTTAATAGTTTATGTTTGTCAAAATTAAACCTAGCCCCTAATACGTTTTTTTTTTGTATATTTTCTGTATATATTCTGTATATAATGATAAGATTGATTTATCTTTTGTATATCTGTTGTGTATTTTTTATATCCTATGTATTCAATTAGTATATGTTCTATATATGTTCCCGACAAATATACTGTTATTTAGTATATGTTTCTTTTATAATCAGTGAATATATCATATGTATATGTTGAGTATATAATGAGTATATCTTCTGTATATAAGACTGATTGGGAAACAAAAAAAATACGAAAAGATAAAATTACCAGGTTATTTCGTATATTTTTCGGACTTATATGTTTTCCGAAAACCACCGTGAAAAATGAATGTGATTCTGATTACTTGTTTTTTTTTTCATAATTTATTTAGTCTTGTATTGGTTTATAAACCTATAATAAACAAAAAAATAAACTAGAAAATTTAAGGTAAAAAAATTATTTAAAAATTTACATGGAGAGATAATTAACATTTAAAGGGAATGAAATAAAGATAAGAGAGAGGAGAGAAGAGAGAAAGAGAAAATAATGGAGAAGACAGAGAAAAAAAAAACGGATGAATATGGCGTGAAATAAGAAAGAGTGTAATTAAGGAAAATTGTTATGAGTAGATAAATGAGAGAGGAGAGAGAATGTTTTTAATATGTAGAATTTATTCAAATGTTTATGTTAGATTAGGTATATGATTTTGCTATGAAGCCAACACTATGGAGTCAACCTTTTATAAACAACAAGTAAAGTACATATGTAAATAAATTTTTGATTTGGTATTTTTACAATTATTTAGCAATCAGTTAAGTACATATGTTAATTACCCTAAATTATATCACATCCAAAATAAATTATTTCTAATCAAGGTCCAATCAAACTTAAGAAACGGGTGGGATTAACTTTTTGACAAAGCCCATAATCCAATGTAATCTATATCTATATATATATAATAAGAATTATTATTTACTAAAAATAGTAGCAAAAAAATAAGTCAGAATTTAATGCAGCATATAAATAGTAAGTTTTATTATTATTTTTTTTATTTTTTCTTTAAAAATCATACAACATTAAATGCTACCTTAAATTTCAGGCTTTAATTTATTTTATTATTAAAAAATTCGACTAAGATTTATTAATTGTATACGTTTTTATTTTTTTTCTTAGAAACAACGAACAACATTAAAATCTCGGTCTCTATATTTATAAAATATCAATTCAAAATATAACTTTATATTTGTACTTTTAAAAAAATATTGAACGCTAAAAATATTTTTTAAATTGTATAATTAATCAATTAATCTTAATTTTTTAAAAATAATGAATAAATCATGATTAATATTATTTATATATTTAATTTTTAATACAATTGTAATATTGTTTTTTCGTGTATCGGACAAACACACACTAGTATGTTAAAACAAAAAAAGAGAATCAATCCTGATGACTCATGGCCTAAGTGACACCTATCTCAATATCTCTAGAGGGTTCGACTGTTTCGACTCAACTGTTTCAGAAAGTATAAATGGCTGCGCTACCGATGCGCCACCTCACCCCTCTCGCCCCATATTTATCTCCTCTTTCACAACGACCCCTTCATTTTTCATATTTCCATCATCACTCCCCTCGACGCAGAACCCATCGACTATCCATCTCAACAATGGCTTCCGCTGCTAAGAAGGTAGAAGAACAGCTGCAGACATTTGTCAGAAATGTGAGTGAGCTGATTAATTTGCTGAACTGCTGCAATTATATTTTTTCCCCGGCGTGTAGGTTTTGGTACCGGTGGCGAACGGCACGGAGCCTCTGGAGGCGGTGATAACAATAGACGTGCTGCGGAGGGCCGGCGCCGACGTGACGGTGGCGTCGGTGGAGGAGCGGCTCCGCGTGGACGCGTGCCACGGTGTCAAAATTGTGGCCGATGCTCTTATATCTGACTGCGTCGGTACCGCCTTTGATCTCATCTCCCTACCGGTAAGGATAATTTCCCCCGTTTTTGATCGAACACGAAGTTTTTGTTTCTTGTTGTGTTTCAATTGGATTATTGGTTTATTTATGCTAGATTTTTAAGGTACAAATGTTATTTCCTACTCGATGTCTACCTCATTGATGTGACGAGATGAATGCCATCTCTTTTGGTGTTTGCTTGGTTTTCGTTTGATGTTAATGGATGAATTTCATGTCTTCACAATGTTATGATTCTTCCATTTGAGTGCCAATGTGTCATACTTGTTTATTTTATGGTGAGTAGAAAGTTGTAGTGGAGAAAATATGTGTGTTTGTAGCTAAACCTAGTTTGCCAATTAAGTTTCAGATATATCCTCTTATAACTTGTGCGTGCTGTCTTTTCATGGGCTTATCCATGTAACTAATTTTAGTAATATATTGGAAATGTGAATGGTAAGGGAGGAATGCCGGGTGCTACCACTTTAAAGGACTGCACAACACTGGAAAGCATGGTGAAGAAGCAGGCTGCAGATGACCGACCATATGCAGCAATATGTGCAGCTCCTGCTGTTGCACTTGGGTCATGGGGTCTGTTGAGCGGTTTGAAGGTAAAAAGAGTATTAGCTTTATTAATTTTGAGTTAAAACTTTTTTTTTTAGTTCTCCAATAGGCAATATCATCTCTGCTTATATGTAGTCCAAGTTTACTCGAAAGTTCAAACAGAATTTTGTGGTTAACAATGGGGGTACTAACAAATGATTCTGTTTCGATCCCAGGCTACTTGCTACCCGTCATTTATGGAGCAATTGTCATCTACTGCATCAGCTGTTGAATCAAGGGTGCAGCAGGATGGAAAAGTAGTGACGAGCCGTGGACCTGGAACTGCAATGGAATATGCTGTTGCTTTGGTTGAACTGCTCTATGGAAAAGAAAAGGCTGATGAGGTTTCTGCACCTCTGGTATTTCCCTTATCCTCAAATCTTGTGTTTGTGTGATGTGAAATTGGTTTGATTTTACTACCACCACGTGGTCGCATTTGTCAATAGTTGCTGCCCGTTGGGCCACTCGTGTTACTTATTCTCCGTTTTTGGTCCCCTTTTACGTTGATGATCTCCGGCCCTTATGTTATGCCAACTTTGCACCTATATGTTGGACCTTTTTCCTTGCTTTGAATCCTTATAAGACGTTTAACACATGGTTCCTTTTGCCTTCTGCTATTGCCTCTCATCGTTAGAGATCTTGTCGGCTTGAGAGTGCCCTGAATACATTTTCTCTGTAGTCTTAACTCCATTGTATAAGCACTATGAAGGTACAAAATGGAGGGCTTCAAAAGTTTATTATACTAACCTATGATTACGAAGAAAGAATGAGAATGCAGTGCGATGTTTTCTAATAAATGACGGTATGAAAAGAGATGCAGCAGATCACAGTATGCCAACGTTAGCTAATCTTCAGAGTAAGGTCTAGTGTGGTTAAAGGAATAAATTTGTTTCTTGGTGATTGGCCTTTGTTTTGGCACTAATTGTCAGCATTTCTGTTAAATCGGTTGAGTATTCTTTCAGCCGTACAAGCGAACCATGTGATGGTACAAATTTAGTCAGTGAGATATCGGTTGCTGTTTCTGTGATTGAATGAATGACACTGCCTATGTGAGGGTGTACGGAACCTAGGTCATGTGGGAATAAGTCTTTCTTTTTATGTAGTGTTGTATGAGATGTCATGTTAAAATTCTTACCATATATTGAGCGTGTATCCTAAGTGATTGCCAAAAGCATGATGAGTTCAGGTAGACAAAGTTGATTGCCTATAGCATGACGAGTACAGGTTGAGACTTGTAAGACACGAATTGAAATTGTAGGATGTGGAACTTGAAATCTAAAGTTGAGTTATACTTAGGTACCGCCTTAGGAAATTGTAGGATGTGGAACTTGAAATCTAAAGTTGAGTTATACTTAGGTACCGCCTTAGCATATTGAATGTATGAAATCGTAACTATTTGGTATTGCCGGCTTGTTTTGCCTTTCAGCTCTGGAACTAAATATTTTGGTAACTTTTTACCCGTGTATTTATCCAGGTCATGCGGTCGAATCATGGGGCAGAGTACACTTTCACGGAGCTAAACCAAGTCAAGTGGACATTTGATAGTTCTCCAAAGGTTGAGATTGTATGCTGTAATAGTTTGGTTGTAATTACATGCATGCTCTATTTGGTATGGGTTTAAGTCTATCAATTTCGAGTCTTGAACAAGTTCATTACAGAAACATCAATTAGCAAGTGCAACGGGAGCTTGTTTTGATTGTGAGTCCAGTAAACACGTGTTCGCTTTCATGAGCTGAGTTGTCTTGTCAATATCCTTATTCATATTTTAAATTACCACATGCTTCTTTCTTCTTTCCTCCTTTTCTCTTTCCTCTTGTTGGGTGTACTGAACTTGTTACATTTGGCTTTTGTGATATATCACATTATAATTGGGTTGTTAATGGTGAACTGACAAGGGTCGACTTCAAGAAGGCCATTAAACTGTAAATAGAAATCTGATGTTTTCTGATATATGCATGAATGAAGAAAAGACTTGGTCATTGATATATTTTTCCAATCATAATAATTCCTCAGTTTCTTCTTTGCCAGATTCTTGTACCAATTGCGAATGGGACTGAAGAGATGGAGGCCGTCATCATCATCGATGTACTCAGACGAGCAAAAGCTGAAGTGGTAGTGGCTTCTGTCGAAAGTCAACTCGAGATTTTAGCTTCAAGGAATGTCAAATTGGTTGCCGATGTTCTCCTGGATGAAGTTATCAGCCACCCATTCGACCTCATTGTCTTACCAGTAAGACAGGCACCCTACTAAAGCTTTCTTGTTATCTTCGTATTTAAATAGCGTAATCATAATTTAAGCAGTAGCATTAACTTGCTACATACGAGCAGGGTGGACTCGGTGGCGCTCAAGCCTTTGCAAACTCGGAGAAACTCGTAAACTTGCTCAAGAAACAAAGTGAATCGAACAAATTCTATGGAGCAATATGCGCATCCCCAGCTCTAGTCCTTGAGCCTCATGGCTTACTTAAGGTATTTGCACTGCATTCACCTTATATTTTGTATCAAAGCTAATTTCGATCAGCTCCTAATAAGAATGAAGTTCCTGTGCATTTTTCTTATAGCTTTAATCTAAAAGTTATTTCAAAGAATATTTCGACACTATTTCTGTATCTAGATAAAATTCCTGGTTGAATACCTTTTACGTATTAAACCGTGGTTTCACAGGGTAAGAAGGCTACTGCTTTTCCTGCTATGTGCAACAAACTGTCGGACACCACTGAAGCTGAGAGCCGAGTAGTTGTGGACGGCAATCTTGTGACGAGCAGAGGGCCAGGAACTACCATGGAGTTCGCCTTAGTGATTGCTGAGAAGTTTTCCGGACGAGAAAAAGCACTCGAGGTTGCCAAGACCATGCTTTTCGTACACCATTAGAGGTTATACGAAATGCTCGATTTTTGCCCTGGGATAATCTCGGCTTGATTTTTCATGACCAGTGGGTCATCGGTGTTCGATGATATATATACGTATTCAGTTATAAATCAAGTCATATATGAATTCGTGTAAGATATTCGAATGTGTTTGATGAGGTATTTGTATTTGTATTCAGCATTTCCTTTTANTATTATTAGAAAACAAGACTGCATACTTATATATTAATAAGAAAAGTTACACCATAAATTTATACGTATACTGTCACATTAATATCATTTGATAAATATGCAATAAAATTATAATATTCAGTCATGAATAATTATTTATTGTACTTACATATGATATGCTATTAATCTAATCTAAACTAACTAAAAAGCAAAATAATGGAGTGCAACAAAATTGTCGATTAGTGGACTATTTACGACTTGCATATTACTTGTATGTCACGGACTTAATAGGAACTTAAAGTCATACTGTTAACTTAAATATAACTATTATAGTTACAAGTGACAACTTTAATCGATTGCTCCCAACCCGAGCGTGTCAGCCAATGTTTTTCAATTCCAAGTAGTCCGAGGAATGTATTTGGTTGGTTCCATTTTATTTTTTTTCAAATGATAAAATTAAATATAACTCAAATTAACCAGTACAATTGGAACGTTAATTGACATCATAAAGATCATGACAAACTTGAACCTAAATTCTCTTGGACTTACATAGACAACCTCTAACCGAAACACTTCCAATAAGGAAGTCAACAAGCTCCCAAAACAGGAGACTAAAACTCGAACACAATAAGATTTTCAAAAAATATATAAAAAAATAAAAACAGCACACACATACAAACTTCACAACTATGATCCCTTAGGCGTGATAGGCCTGTGCCGTTAGTTGGGTAGGCTGCAATGAATGGTGAAGTCGTGGAATGAATGTGAAGATATCTCTCAAATGAAAAAAAAATAAAAAAATAAAAAAATAAAAAAAAATTCTTATGAGCCGTCGTGGAACAGTTGAACAGATTTAGTGTGAACATTATATTTATTTAATTTTTAAAACCATATGGCTCGTCCCTTCCTGGAACTTATCAAGTACCCACCATTGTACCAAAAAGAGAACTGAGACCTCCTCTGCAGCTTCATTATTCTGACTTCATAAATTAAGCTTTCCTCTGAGAATTCAAACCGACGAAGATACTTTCAGTAGAGCCCATCTGCCTGACATAAAGATCCAATAAGGTAATAAAATTAAAATCCTCTCGTGTAAATTTCATTCAAGAATCCTTTGCTTTTTGAGATGTATCTTTGAAACCCTTTTGAGTTTGGGAGATGAGGTTAGGTTAAAAATGCAATCTTTGCTGCAATATTTTAGTTGATTCGAACAATGCTCGATCGATTAGCTTCGGACCACATGAAATGGTTTTGTTTCATCATTTTGTAGGAACTAGCCGTTTTTCTTGTTGTCTTTCTTGTAATAGCTTAGGATTAATCTGAGAAACTGAGAAAGACTCGGGCTTAAACTCTTCCGAATCACAAATTATTGTGTGAGGCGGTCTAATTATTAGGCGGGTCGACTCATTAGTACCTTTTTAACAAAAATGTATCATTATGCTACGAAATGCCATAATTTTGTTTATGTTGTATTCTGGAGCATGACATTTGAGTTTGAAAGTACGCATATTTTTTAAGACAAAGTATGAGTAGGCACTAGAGACTGGCGTACTGCGTTTTATTATACACTCTTGTGAGTGTATTACTACTCTTTGATGCTTAATCTTTGCACTTAGTAAAGAAAAGGGTCTCCCATATTTCCATGAATAGTCGTTTTGTGATTTAAATCTAGCAGTTTGAAAGACTTTCTTACACACTGTGAATTCAGTTCAATGCCTGATTTTTTCTAGATGATCCCTAATAATTTGCACTGGCCTTTTTGAACTTCTCTTGTTGGGTCTTTTATATGAAGCCTGAATTTTATGAAATATTTTGACTTAGTTTTCGCCATGTATTATTATCACAGGAGGAGAATGTGAGTAAATTTGAAGTCTTGATAATCAAACAGAGATTGGTGTCAATCGTCATGACTTGGTTCAGTGCTTGTTTCTGCCAGCAAGATTCTTCCACAATTGATCAAATAGTAAATATCAACAGAGGTATATCTCTAACTTCTTGAAAATTTCAACTAGACTATTTGTCGATTCAATTTCCCCATTCCATTATGAAAAGAGTTTAAAGTAAACGTTGTTCGTTACATGATTTCAACTACTATATCTGCCATAGAAGATATCTAATAGGACTCAGAAATAATGCAGAAATTTCGAATCTTCCAAATGCTAAATTGTACAGCTACAAAGAATTACAAGCAGCAACCGAAAATTTCGACCACGCGAATAAGATTGGTGAAGGTGGATTTGGTTCTGTATACAAGGTAATTGTCAACCTTTTGCTTCATCCTATATTGCTTTTTTTTTTTTTTTTTGGGCNGCTATGTTAGTTGTTAATTAAGTTGCGCTTGAACTTGTAGGGAAAGCTAAATGACGGTGCTTTAGCAGCCATTAAAGTTCTATCTTCCCAGTCAGAGCAAGGCGTGCGTGAATTCCTAAACGAGATAGTAGCAATATCTGGAGTCGAACATGAAAACCTGGTCAAGTTGTATGGTTGTTGCACAGAGAGAGGCCAAAGAATATTGGTTTATGGCTATCTCGAAAATAATAGCCTCGCTCAAACTCTTCTAAGTAAAGCTCATCCACTTCACCTTTAAGAATAACGTTTAATATTTCTTCCGAAGTCCATTTTGTGTGTTTAGTAAGGAAGCTGATTAAATTTGTGATATAGGACGGCACAGTGATTTGCAGTTTAGCTGGAAAATGCGGACTAAAATCTGCATAGGAGTCGCACAGGGGCTTGCTTTCCTTCACGATGAAATCCAGCCACGTATTGTTCATAGAGATATTAAGGCAAGCAATATTCTTCTTGATAAGAATTTCACACCGAAAATCGCTGACTTTGGTCTGGCAAAGCTTTTTCCGGCCACTATGACTCATATTAGCACGCGTGTTGCTGGAACCTTGTGAGTTGATGAAACTTTTGCTCTATTTTAGAATTTTAAGTGGCGTTTTAGATGGGGAAATTGAGAGATTACTATGAGCATGAATATTTCTAGTAAGTAGTACAGAACTTGTGATAGTTCGTTCGTGGTCATTATTTTTTCCGGTTGCTCCACTGAATGTGCTTCGTCCATGTATTTTGAAAAAAAATAGGACTAAAGATAATTTCCTCAACTCAAAATTTTAAATATATATATTTTTTTTGGCCTTCTGTAAAATAATCGTTCGTTCGTATTCTTCTTTTGCAGCGGTTATTTGGCTCCTGAGTACGCGATTCGGGGCAAGCTGACGAGAAAAGCAGATATATACAGTTTTGGAGTTCTTCTGCTAGAGATTATCAGTGGGAGGTGCAACATGAACAAGAAATTACCAGTCGAAGAACAAAATCTTCTCGAAAGGGTATGAATGAAAACTCTAGAATTTCCATTTTCTTGGAAAAAAAATAAAAAAATCAGAGTGGTGAAGTGAATTGTTGTTATCTGCATCTTTTCAGAATTTTGATAATATAAATACTTCAACTTTAAACTTTTCCACATGTAAATAAAATACTACGAAATTCCCATCTCTAGGACCTCATCAACCTTATTTCCCAGGCATGGATATTGTACGAGAACAAAACGCCAACCGAATTGATCGATAAATCGCTCGAGGGGGACTTCAACACGGACGAAGCTTGCAGGTTTGTGAAGATCGGGCTTTTGTGCACCCAAGATAAGCCCAAAAACCGGCCCACGATGTCGGCCGTTGCCAAAATGTTGAAAGGTGAGAAGGGCGTGGATGAGATGGAGCTGTTGAGGCCAGCCTTGCTCAAAGAGCTAATGGCGCTAAAGGCCTCAAGCAATGCCCCGTCATCAAGTTCTGGAACAAGCACGAACGATGGATCTTCGTCGTGCTCTCAAAGTACAAACATGTCGTGCGCGACTATGTCTTTTTCGTCAATATATGATCGGAGTAATTGAGCCCGGGAAAGAAAAGAAGAGGAAGAAGAAGAAGAAAGTTTGTTTCTTTAGGAAATGTATATGGGGTTTTTAGAAATGGGAATTATGGAATGTTAACACTCAAATGTGGTGGGATTTATTTTTTTCTTGTTGTTTTTTTTTTTAATGGTAAAAAATGGCCATAAGATGATATGTATGTGGAAAGCAAATTTAATAAAATCATTTTTTTTTTT